AAAAAAAAATTATGTTGATTTGTTGATTTTTGAAAAAGTTATGGAAGTTTTAAGAAAAAAAAGTGAAAAAAATGACAAAATTTGTCGATTTTTAAATTTGTAATTTTTTTGGATATTTCCCCCATTTGCGGGGAACGAGGGAAAATTTTTAAATTTTTAAGGGTAATGTCTTCAACTAGATACAATTTGTGATCTTTTGACGTATTGTTAAAAGAAATCGGTCCAGTGAGAGCTGAGAAAAAGTAGTGACAGACACAAAAAAAAATAAAAAAAAAAAATAAACACATCATGGTAAAATTAATACCTTCTCAGCTTCGCATCGAAGCTAAAAAAAAACACATCATAGTAAAACCAATACCTTCTCAGCTTAGCATCGAAGCTAAAATAATGGTTCCCATAAAAGAAAATTAAAGTTAATTTTTTTCTACCTAAAGGGATGAAAACAAAAATTGTTAATATATATATATTATTGAAGAGATATTTGATTCTAACAATATTCTTCTTTAAGAAAAATTAAAAGTACTTTTGCATTTGATACTAAAAGAAAAGTTAAATAATGTAACAATATATTTAATATCTCTATAGAGTAATTATTTAAAAAACAGAACTTATTTTTTCATTTTTATATACTGGTCATTAAGAGAGTGCAAAAAAAAAAAAACGGAAGTGCAGTGGGGTTGTAGCACAGTATGGAAAAGTTTAGATGATATCCGACAGTGATTATAATCAATATCATAAGAATCGCTTTGATGCAAATCTGTAGATAGTGTTTAATTCTAAGAAATTGGAAAAGCAAAAATAATTCCTATTTTTTGTTCTACTTCGATTGCCATTTGCACATAGAAAATAGGTAGTCGGTACAAATTTTTTTTTTTGAACTTCATATACATTTAATAAGCTTAATTTCAACATATATTTAAGAGACACAGTATTCCTAGAATATTTTCAAAAGTTCTAAATTTTATACAAATTTTCAAGTTTTCAAAAATTCAAAAAAACTTTTCTCAACTTTGAAGAGGGGCAAAATAATTAAAATAAATATAAATTTATATTTAATGCAAGTTAGATTTATGTATATTGTATATTTATTGGCAGACTTATTTTTATGGCAAACCCTTAAAAGGTATTAAAAAAAAAAAAAAAAAATTAAATTTAAACACAAAAATTGCATGTTTTTTAATTACTGTAGTCAATTGTATAAAGAAGATGCTGTGGGAACAATTTTTTTTTTTTTTAATTATAGTATGTGACATAAACTTTAATTTAACATCTTTAAGGATGTAGTATTTCCAAAACATTTTCAAAATTTAAGTTGAATTTTGTAAAAAAAGTTGTTATTTTGAATCCTCTTTTGTGGGCAGGTAAAGGGTCAATTTTTTAAAAATATTATATCAAAGAAAATTTTTCAATTTTTGAGGGTAATGTCTTCAACTAGATGCAATTTTTGATCTTTTGACGTATTGTTTATGAAAATTGGTCCAGTGATTTGAGATTAAGTGGCAACAGACACAAAACAATAAACATATCATGGTAAAATTAATACCTTCTCAGCTTTGCATTGAAGCTAAAAGTCAATCTTCAAAATGTTACTAGACTGTTCTCTAAATTCATTTTATAAATAATGAACACCTATTAAGAACCATCTTCTTTGTCCTCGCCTTAATCCTAACTACTTGGGGTCAGCCCCCCTATCCTAAACTTCTACTTCACACAATCTCCCACATCAAATAAACTCGCATCAACTGTCCTCATATCGCTTTCAATAACATTCCTCCATCTCTCCTTCTTTCAACCTATTTAGAATATATGACAATTTGAGATTAGAAATTTTTATTTTCTGGTTGTTTTATATGTTTTAAGTAAATTGACCAAAAATTTTTAAAAGAAATTAATAACTACTTAAATTATTCAATTTTATTTTAGCATAAGGCATTATTTTAACATAAGGCAATAATTGTTTAAGATTAAAAATTTAAATAAAATGATAATAAGATAATAAGTTAAAAATAATGTCAGTTGGCACAGAAACATCATTTGTATTCAAAGAGGAACAAGATAAAGTTTGGAAAATTAAATAGTTAAAAATCATAATTTCAGTTCAGTAACCACAAAATTGTTGAACAAAATTTAAATAAAGAATAGATTTACAGAAGAAAAAAAAGTAATCCGAAATTTTAAATTATTTAAGTTTTCAAAATTCAACCTTAAATCTATAGTTTAATTTATGAATTTAAATTATAATTATTGCTTTACCTTCTTTATCTTGAATTTTAGATTTCACATTTTCAATAGAATCAGACGACTCTACTTCGAGAGTTATCGTCTTCCCGGTCAACGTTTTCACAAAAATTTGCATTTTTCTAGAGTAGAAGAAAGGGATTAGTTTAAATAATTATTTATAATTCTAAATGAAAATAAACCACGTGGTGGTTATAAAAATGTATAGATAAAAATATTAATATAATCTAATTAAAATAGGAATATTTATCTCAGTAAATAATTTTAATTAACTAAACTTTAAGAAATTACCTTGGACCAGAACCAAAGAATAAATACAACTTTCAATTCAAGAAACGAATATTTCAGAGACTATATTCTTACAAAAAATTTAGAATAAAAGAATGCCGAAAAAATAAATAGTAAAGGTAAGATGTTCAGATAATATTTTATGAAAAGAATGTGTGGCGTGTGGTTACATTAGTATACCATGGTTACATGGAAGTGTATGGTTTATCTTGTAATAATATGCCAATAATTGTATTAATAAATCATAAATAAAACTGAATATTTTGGTTTTCAAACAAATTTTTTTTATGAGAAGAAATAGATGTTTAACGAATTTCTTTTTCTTATTAGAAGTTTAACTATATCTTTTTGTGTTACAATCATAGGATAGACAAAATCTTATCAATTGCGTGGTATAATTTTATAGGTATAGGTTATACTAAAAATTATTGTAAAGTGCAAGGTGATTTTATAAATCCACTTCAGTAAACTCTATTTTTTATCATAAAGTAATCAACAACATCATTGATAAACAATCAGGTATTTAAATTATAAATAATTGTTCGTGTTGTAAGAGTTAAGTTAAGAATACATTATTTAATGAAATTATAACTCATTTACTAAAATTTTTATTTTATTTCCATCACATAATTTTTAAAAAACTATTTAATTCTAATATTTTTTAGATTGTTTAATAAGTGGATGGAAAATATTTATTAATTAAATTGGACAAAAATATATTACAATGAAATCATTGTTCATTTTATTTCTTTTTTTTACCATTTTTGTACGTGTTTACTGAATTGATTAATATCTAATTTTTATTCAATGTTACTGTAATAAATAATAAATAAAACTCTATTTATTTTGTCTAGCTAAACTTTTGTATTGGTGATTACACTGCAAGTGATTGTGTTCAATTGGGGTTCAACAAGGCAAATTTACTGTGTTCTAGTTGTGACCAACTTCAAAAATTTGATTTATCTTTACTGAGGTTATTATTTAATTATAATATGATCAATGTTTATATTACAAGAAACGTAAATGTAAAATAATGTATTAGGAATTTATTTTAAAATTTCTTTTTACAAAAGTCTGTTTTATAAAATATAGTTGTATCATTAATTGTTAGTCTTAAGTGTGGAATAAAGGAGTATGTCTTTTCCTTCAAATTTTATAGAATTTATATAAATAAACTTATACAATGATTGTTTTAAAATATGTATCAAGAAAAAAAAATGAATCCAAATAAAGAACTTAATTTATATTCTATTTTTGCTTCTAATTAAGTCTTAAAATGATTTATTTTTGAGAATTGCAAAAATATAGACAATATTCTTGATTATCTTATCATTGGTTTTCTTAAAGTGTGGCTTTCTGAAAAGTAATTATAACTGCTCTAAATATTTTATTTCAATTTCTGATTATATAAACATGAGTTGATGAAAAAAAATTTTAATTTTGTTGAGTGAATCACTTAAATATTTCTCTTAATAAATTACCACTAATTCTAATTGTAACAATTTTGCCACCGAATGGGTCTTTTTGAAAATGTAACCTTTTATTCTTATTTTTTGAATAAGATTTTATTTCTAAGATTTAATAACTAGGTTTTTGAATATTTTTGGGTTCTAGTGAGAACTGTTTACAATGCTGTCAAATGGATAAGGAAGTAAAGTCAATTAAAGTGTACGCTAAAGCAAGACTAGAAGTTTGTACTTGTAAATTTGGAGCTTATCCTCAAATACAAGGTATTAGAAAAATTTGAAGATATTATGTCAAGTTATTATTTAAAATTTTCTTTTCTTTAGCATTTCTGAAAAGTGATCGTCCTAAAAAATATCCAAATCTGACTATTAGATATGTCAGAGGACTTGATCCTATTATAAAACTTATGGATAACAATGGCAATGTTCAAGAAGTAATTTCAATCTAAGGTCTATGTAATATAATTTATGTATAACTTATAATTTTATATTAGGTTCTAGCTATTGAACGATGGGATACTGACACTGTTGATGAGTTTTTAAGTACTCATTTAGAACAAGTAAATCCAGATGAAGATTATAGATCAAACTTGGTATAATTATGATAATACTTTTTGTTTGTGATATGCGTTAACTGATAAAAACTATTTTTTTTAATATGAACTAGCCTAAGAATACTGTTAATAGTTACAAAATCTTTCTGCTAACAATATTTTTATGTATTTATTCTTATAAGGAGAGACAATAAAAAACCAGTAATATTTTCATAACTTAAATTTAAAAAATATTTTAGTTATATGTAAGAAATTACATATAACATTTTGGAAATGTAGTAACACTTTAAACATTATAAATAATGTTTGATGGAAATGTGATATACTTAATAATTTTATCACTATTTAATATACAATAAAAATAATTCAATTATTCAATAAACATAGTGTTATTATTTATCATTATTGATATTTATATATATATATATTATTATATATTTAAAATCATGTTCTTTCAAAAAATAGTGTTATGCTACTACTATTATGGTTACTACTCTATATTGTAACATATATTTACAAAGTAGTTTATAGATTAAATAAAATTATATTTTTTTTGAATAGGTGGATGTTATATAATAATATGTTACACCTATTAACTTCATTATTTAGTTGCAAAAGTATTGGCCAAAGCTGAGCATTAATTAGTTGAAAAGTTAACTTTTTTAACTATTCAACTATCTAGTTAAATAAACCAATGAATTATCTTAACTTTTTCAGTTAATTAGGTAATAAAAATTAACTCAATTAAAAATTTCATAAAAATGTTTTATCTCTATACGCTGTGTATGTGGTTTAAATTATAAAAATTTAATATAAACAGTTCTTTAAGATGCCAAAATGAAGTAGTATTAAAATTAATTTTCTCTACCTTAAATATCCAGAACAATTTAAAACTAAAGCCCCTCAAAAAAGTTTTCTTTGCTTCAGAATCTATAATTAATAGATCACAAATAAGTCGTTGACCAATACTATCATAAATATGTTGAAATATACAAAAATGAGAAAGTTAATGTAGATAAGTTAACAAATATTAAATTTAATAGCTAAGTTGAAAATATTTTTAACTTAACTCATTTTTAAAATGTTTATTTAATCCTTTTAGACTTTAATTACTTTTTTTGAGAAAAACCAATTTTTTATTAGTCGGTGATGCTAGAGAAGACTGAAATCGATTTTCAACTTTTAAAATGGAATAGAAAAAAATTATAATTATAATAAAGATAATGTTTATTTGTTTTTTGCCTAACATCATTTTGAGTATTTTAGTTTTTGTTGTGTTACTCTATATTTAAAACTACAGTTGTTATTAAAAAAATAAACAAAAATTAATTAAAGAATCCCAAAAGGAATTTTTCTTTATGCTTCCTTAATTTGTAATGAGTAACACTAATGTAATTATAGAAGCTTAGATCCCAAGTTCAGAACATACAATTTTATTTATTGTTATGTAAATATTTTGTATATATATATATTACTTAGGGTAGGGAAAAGTTCAATTTAACTCTGTTTCATTCTAGTACCTTTGATAAGTATTTGTATTTATATTAATTTTTATAATTTAAACCACGTACACAGTGTATAAACCGCCAACTTTTTTGGAATTTTAAATTTAGCTTGAATTTTACTATCTATTTAAATGAAAAAAGCTGAATTATTTCAATGCAAAATTAAACTAGAAAAAAATTAAGAAGATAATTAAAATTAAAATTTTTTTTTTTTATTATTCCTTTTATTATAATATTTTTCAACTAGACCATTACAATTTTTTTCTATATTGTATTTTAATTATTTAATTTAAATTAATGGAATTTTAGGGGTACTTTTTGAACAGTTAAAATCCAAACAGTGTCTACATTTAATTAATAATGCATTGAAAGTCTCGACTATCTCTTACACTATTTCCTAATTTTATGGTATCTTAGTCGCTATTATAGAATGGACCATTGCCAATAGTAAGTAATTTTCTTCATTAAAACAATTCCAATAATTGGTCATCACTTTTAAATTAGATATGCTACGAAGTGATAATTCTTAGCTAGTGGAAAAAAGAAACGGAATACCAAGAATTAAAACTGTTACAATACACATAAAGTATCAAAAATTAATTTTTTTTTCACTATATAATATTGAAAAAACTATATACATTATATATATATTTTATATCATGAATTTTACCGTATTTGTTTATTTTGTGTGCCGACAGTGGCGTATTTATTGAGTGGATGATGGGTATAATAACCCCTAGAACAAAATTATTTACATGGAAAAGATACAATATTTTTTAATTGGAAGGAAAAGTGATCATTTTTCTTATATATATTCATTCCAGAACAAAACCACAATATACTCGTTTCCACTTTTTCTTAGCTCCACTGAAGCAATTTTGCTTAACTGTTCTTTGTATATTAAGAAAACACGAATTATATTTAGTCGAAGACATTACCCTCAAAATTTGCGAAAAATTCACATTATTTTTTTCAAACGATTGTAGGGATTAACTAAAATTTAAGATAACATGTGTATAATAAATAGTATTAAATGTTTATCGTAAGTGTACACTGCAAAGCAGTACGATAACATTCTATTGTATTATTTTTAGTCTCGCGGTGTCCATCAATATGACAACACTTCTTATATTTGTAATTGTATTTTTTATATATATTTATATCATATTTTTAATGTTAAAAATTATTAATTTTTATAAATTTTAATTTTAGTATTCTTTTAATAATAGAAATTATATATACTACACGATATTGATGGTTTTTTTGTAATTTGAAACTTCAGTAATTTAAAAAATCAAACTTGATAAAATTAAAATTTTGATAATAATATCAATTATTACCTTTATTATATTGATTGAATTAAAAAGGAAAACTAAAATATAAAGAATGGAGTGTTTGAATATCATAAAAAAATAATCAAAAAAATTGTTTGCATTCAATTTTGAAAATATTTAAAGTAAAATTTTCTACATTCTCTAAACCAAAACATTAAAAGATAACATTGATAACGCTTCTACAATAATAGTACAATAAGCGTTTTAATAATGTTTAATAAACTTTATCTAAATTAATATTAATTTATAAAAAAAACTTGCCAGGGAATCTACATCAAATTAAAACATTTTTAATGTGCTATACAATTAACAAAAATTTAAAAAAATACTTTGTTTTCTGTCTATTTTTCTGAGAAATTTTCCACCAAAAAAAATTGAATAATTTATTATTACAAAACTTTTTGACTTAATTTTACAAATTAGTACTTATTGTTTGGTACATTTTTTGGGCTTAAACTATTCAATAATTAAAACAATATCTTTCCTATAAAAAAAAAAACTACACCTACAAAAATTTACGTGACAAATTTCAAACACGTTAGATTAAACATGTAAAAAAATTATTTATCATTAATAATAGTTGAAATAGTTAAAATATTGTGGGCACTATTACATTTTTTTCTCTCCAAACAAAAAAATTATGTTCCCCACAGATTATTTTCATTATAACGGGTATTTTCCCGTCATGCTCTTTAACGTCCATTATAGAATAGTAAATATGTAAATATTTTTATTAAACTGAAAATCGGTACTAGTTGAGAAATTGAGATTTTTAATATATTTGCTGAGGGTATTATGTTATTTAAATTAACACTAAAATTTGTCAAATTACCTAATAAAATCGAATACTACATATTTAAAAGGATTATTTTCTATTGTATGAAAAGTGGCCTCATTTGTCTTATAGTAGGAATAGTTGTGGTATGTGAGGAGCGAAAGAGTTGGCTAGGACATCTTTCGCCGCTACAGTCTTCGGTTTACCACGAGGTATCATTCACGTTCTAGGTAGCTTAACTGCGTCACCATGACAGTTGCTCGTTTTCATAAGAACAAAATTATAAAATAGTTTTATACAATTTTAAAAGAAAATTTCTTCAAATTATTAAAATATTTATACTGTGAATAAGTGCATAATTAGACGACAGTAGGATTAAGTGATCAATTGTATTTTTTAAATAATTTCGCTAACGTGTCTGCTGCTGATATGCTTAAGCCACTAGTATTACAAATAATCAACTCTTTGGTAAGTATTTTTATTTGCTTTTAAATTCTATGAGCAATGAAAAAGACTTAGGAAAACTTATAGTTGGCAATTATTATAGGTAATTATAGAGTGCGCCTATATGGAAAAATACGTTATTCATACTTTTTATTATTTTTAATTGATATCTTCATACTTCGAGTTTCTATAAACTGATAATTTTGATGCTATAAAGTATGTAAAACTTTCTACACTTTTGCCGTGAAAATATCTTTAAATGTATAATGATAATTATGTTTTAATTGAAGGGAAAAATTATTTTTTTAAATTTATTGAATAATAGTCATTAATATTATTTTGATATAATAAACAGAAATTTATTTTATATTTTTATACTGAAATATTAAAGTGTTTGATTATTTAACTATGTTTTGGATTTTATACGATTAGTTAAACTCTTAAACTTATACATTAATTTTTATTTTATTAAAATATTGAATATGTTATTATATTTTGTGCAATCAACTGATTTTGTTATTATAGTTGTATGAGTTATTTATACTAAGTTATTAATTTAACAGCTTATAGACGTTTAACATTTTTTTTTTGGTTCGGTGTTTCCTTAATTGAGACTTTGAAACATAAGATCTGGAAAATAAAAAAATTGATTGTGGTTGAAAATAACATTACATAGTTATTTCCGGCTATGTCATATAAAATAAAAATCGTTAATTTTAAATTACATACTTAGTAATGAATCATTTCAACCGCAACAATTGAGTTACAAATTAAAGTGTCAAACTGAGATAACCACGTTTATGTTAACTATAACGAATTCGAAATCCATGGTTTTTGTTTCTAATGTTCTTGGTATAGGCTTTATCACGTTATTTCATGTTAATAGATGTTTAAAATCAATGCTAAGAAATAATTCCAGCGTTTTTATGAATTTTGGATTAGTATAGGTTTTGATACTGTGTAAGAATAATAAACATCAAATAAATAGCTATAAGTTAGGAATAGTGTGACAAAATTTATATGTAACTATTTTTTTTAAATTTTGATAGGTGAAATCATAAATCATTAGAAAAATAGTAGCATTTTTATTTGTTGCAATATTTCTAGCTTAATGATTTTTATTACTTTAAATAAAACAGAAACTATACAAATAAATACTTAGAAAAATTTTTTTTCATACAGTAAAAATAAAAAGGGTTACACTAGAAAAACTTAATTTTTATTAATAATTTTATAAATAAATAAATATAAGGACAATATTATTGTCTTTGTAATATTGTACAATGACATGTCGTTGTACCATGGTTTTAATAATTAAAGTTGAAAAATTCTTTATATAACCAGTGCTCGAATTGGCCAAAAATAAGTAGGGGAGCTCAACTTAACAATTTGAAAACTGCGACCCTAGCATTTTGAAGACCTTTTTTTTTTTTTTACTCATTACTTTATTTAGTATTTATTAATAAATTATATTTCATTATCATACTAATATTTAAAAAAAAAAAAGAGGTGGTATTTTCCACCGTCCTCATAAAAAAAAGTAGTTGGGGTGCGCAAAAAATTTTTAAAAAAAGTAGAGGAGCTACGTACCTGCGCACCCCCCGAATTCGAGCACTGTATATAACTAAAACTTTTCTGTCTATTTGTGATTTTACTGTTGATAAATATATTATTACAATTTATTATATTTGTTTTTAAGCTCTCTATCATTTCAGAGAAGTAAAATAAAATCATTTAGTCACTTTTTGCACAAAAGTGACGATATGTACTTTAATAAATACCCGTTTTAAATAATTTGCGTATTATATTTACATGAGATCATCAAAAATAGTAATATACAAAAAATTAAAAATGTTTATCTTTAATGAAATTCAAAAAACTCATATTTTACATGGACAAAAAAAAGCAATCACTTGGTAACCGATTTAATAGAATACTATTAAGAATTGTTGTCAATAAATTCCCAAGTGGAACGTTAAAAATGCTTTCTTTTTTAATTCTACACGAAGTGGTCCGAATAGATTTGTCTGAACTGTTTCGGCACGTGAGCCTTAGCATTCGTTGTAGTTACAAAAGACGCGTGCGTTTTACTTTTTTAATCCTCTTGTCGGCGCCAACCGCTCCAATAGGCAATATAAATTTAATACTATTGACAATATTAATACAGTAATTGTAGTTAATATTAACATAGAGATGCACGCTCGCGCGTGATTAAAAGTAATTTCTATCATTTGATTGATGTTCGTATAATTGACAAGAAAATTTGTAGTTAGTTACTATGGACGACATTCATATGAATTGAACGTCTTACAGAATTAAAAATATAAAATAGCTACTTCAACTAAATGTAAACATTGAATTGAAAATGTTCAATATTAATAAAATATGAATTTGTGAATATAAATATTCACAAATATAAATATATTATATTAACACATATTATATTAAAAAAATTGTATGTAAACATTTTTGAAGATGTTTTACCTGAATTTTTAAGATATACTATTTTAATAAATGTTCAGTTGCATAAAATTGATCTACAAATGTTAATTTGATTGACTGACAGGTAATTTTCTTTCGCTTATCTAATAATAATTTATGAATATACGAGTATAGTTATTTTCAGACAAATGCATCTTAACTTTAGTTTTAGTTTTAGTTATTATTGAGGTGGACATAATGCCCATGCACTCAGACCTGTTGGTTCATTGTGCGCACCTCATACTGAATTGTTTTGATTCGTTTACCCACCTAAGTGTTATCACCAAAGTTTTAATACATTACCAACCATAAAGTCATCTCTAAAGATGACCAAAATAGTCCTGTCTTTCTGGCGAAATTAAGTATCTCTCTGGGTGCATCTTAACTTAATATTATAAGCTAATTATCTATGTCTATTTATTTTACGGCATTTGTTGTAGAGGAGTCTAGTGAACAATTTGTTTTGCATAGGTGCAAATTGTAAACCCCACTTGTATTAACTCGCCAAAATTCTGAACTGTGTAGTAAGTAATTAGGTAATATACATTTTTAGAATTTCATACTTCATATATTTAATTTTGTTTTATAGCCTATTTTTATCACGCAAAAGAATTATAACTATCATATTTGTACATTTTCGTGTTATTAATAATGTTTTTTTACCTCTGGTTATCAATTGTTAATTGTAATATTTAGCACTGTACTTTGCCGTTAATAAATTAAATCATAGTCTTAAAAATTAATTAACTTTGAAAATAAACGTTAATGGAAAAAAAAGCAAACTCGAATGTCGTCTGTAATTGGAACTTTCATGTGAATGACTTGATGTAATTGGCGTTTAAATACATCTGCAGAAGATCATTATAGATAATCTATGAATCGGCTTTTTAATCCGTGACTTCAGGGATGTGCCTTTTTCAATTGTGATGTGCAATTTCAGAAAAAAAAACTATTTTCAGCTGATTCAACAGTTGGAATCGTTCTGTAGAAAATCAATTTAGCTTTCACTCGAAATTAAGTTATATTGCTCGGACATAAGTTTACGTAACAATTGGAATGAATAAAAAAATATATAACGCTGCTTATGGTTTGCGGAATAGGTTTATAATGTGTTTCGGAACTATAAGGGGTGACTAAAAGTGTCTACATGTTGTCATAACACCGTTGTGAAATATTGGCTCATATGTATAAAAAAAAGTTAGCAGAAATTAAATCTAAACAAACGCATGTGGTAAATTAATAGCGTGTTTATTTTTCCAGCTATCGTTTCAATAAAATTAAATATTAATTCACAGGGCGTGACTAATTCAATGCAATATGAAGGTCTGAAAAACGTGTTCACGCATCATGCTAATGTGTTATCTGTACTAAAGCAGTTATAATTGATATTTTTTGGATTTAATTAAACTTGGGACATGATTTGGTATCATTTAGTGATTACAACTTATTTCTTAAGTTGATCAATTTTGTGTTCCAAAATATTTTCTTGTCAATGCATAATTATTTAAAAATGATATAATTAAAATTATATACTTCCTTTGAGCTATACTTTAGCCATCATTTAATTTTAAGTTAAATAATTAATAATACGTTTACAAATTAACGTATACCATAAAATAAAAATAGGGTTTTTTGCAAAAACACTACTGCATAAATATCAAGAAGAAAGAAATCCAATGACCCTGAAAGGTAAATTCTATAAGACTGTAGTGAGACCAGCTATGATGTATGGTCCAGAGTGTTGGACGGTTAACTATAAAGTAGAGCAGAGAATGAGTGTGCCAGAGATGAGAATGCTTAGATAAATGAGTGGAGTGACTAGAGAAGATAGGATAAGGAACAAGCATATAAGAGGGAGTATAGATGCTACACCTATACTATTATCAATCGTGGATAAGATAAGAGAAAATAGACTTAGATGGTTTGGTTATGTTATGAGAAGAGAAGAATCAGAAGCTGTAAGAACAGTTATAGAAATGAATGTTGAAGGAAGAAGAGGTAGAAGAAGACCAAAAAAGAGATGGAGGGATGTAATCGAAATGTGAAATGAGGACGGCTGATGTGAGCGTAGATGATGTGGGAGATCGTGTCAAGTGGAAGTGTAGGATAAGGGTGGCCGACACCAAGTAGTTGGGATTGAGGCAAGTAAAAAGAAGACAAAGACTACCGCATAGCAATGTATATGTTGATATGTAGTGGTATTTTCGCAAACTTTAAACACAGTCTTAAGAGTTGGTACTATGATAGATTTTTGAAATATATAGTCCCGTTTGAATTAATGAATTTATTATTGTTAATAATTTATTTGTTTCAATTATGAAATGATACCACTATGATTATGTTATACTATCAATAATTATGATAACTTACCACGCTGTGATAATAAGTTAATTGTACATTTGATTCCTGAAAGTTTGAATGTTAAAAGTCTTCAATACTTACAAAATTAATAATAGGAATACATAAAGACATTGCACGGTAATACTTTAATAAAGTTAATAATAACAAAAAACCTAATTCATATAAATTCTTTTACTAAATAT